ATATACCAGATGATTCCTAGGCAACTCATTGCCTAATACTCCAATTAAAGCCCCTACCTGACTCATTTAGCGAAGTACGCATAATACATTCTTCCATTAATTGTTTGTCTGGACAATTCGCCAAATGGATAATTGCTCCTTGAATCTAATAGTAAGCTGAGTGTAGTGGAATTGTCTTCACAATTCACTACAACACCATTAAGTTGGAGTTTTTTTTTTTTTTTGCCTTTTTTTTTGGGGGGGGGGGGGGGGGGGATTTTTTTTTTTTTTTTGAGTGGGGTGGGGCGGTGGTTCCGCGGGGCCTGTCATTCAGACAAGGACACGGTTTGAGAGTTCAATATTTGAAAGAAATGCAAACACAAACTGGAAATGATGAGCTTTTTTTACCTTCTTCCGAAGGGTGCAGTATCCACTGAACTGAAGCATTGCACCTAATATTGAATCTATCAGGCTTCCACAGAGCCCAGCTACTGCAGCAATGGGTACTACCAATAGCTGCCTCCAGGCTATATCTGCAGCACATTTAACTGTAAAAAACCCAACAAGTACAAAGGTGAGGCCAATGACGAAACCACCCGCTGCAGCTGCTAGAAGCCCATTAATAGTGATCCCCCCATTCGTGCCCTTTCGGACTATCTGGGTATGAAATTGATAAAGATTAGTAAACTTCCTTTTTGAAAAACAAATAATCTTTTCGAAAGCTAACATAGGACAGATTTTCAGCTCTTCCACATAGTATGGCCAAGCATAAAAAAAATTCTAAGACAAAAAATTAAGGTTAGAATGAAAGGCAAATCAGCTTTCTTCTTTAGCAGCATGTTAAAATCTCTTTCAGAAGATGCACCAAGTGATTTAAACAATTATATTTGAACATAAACTTATTTTTCACGAAGAATAGTATCAAAACCCTACTTTATTTAGATAAGACTTAGAATTTCTAGATTGGGATGGAGACTTGAAGTTCGAGAAGGATTTCTCCACAGAAGTTCTCCTTTGTCTTCTGAAACTGTGCCTCTTCCATTTGAACTAGACATAAAAGTCACTGTTACCAAAAGAAGGTTCTAACCAATTTCATGAAATAAGAAAGTTGGTAGGAGCATAAATATGTTGAATGAGTATATCTCTAATCATAACTAAATCAGGATTTTGTTGGTTTCTCAAGATAACAAGAGTATGAGTGTTTCTAGGTCATAAATACCTGGGAGCAGGCATTATTTTTTAAATCAATTCAATAACAAGGTATCCTTCTACCTAATGATTCAGTTATAAGGGTCTGAAAGTCAAGAATGTACATACATTAAGTGGATACCTATGCCTTCCTAGGAAGAAGGAACATTGATGCAGGACAGAGATATAATATGATACAAAAACGAAAGCTTTTTAAGAAGTATGATAATGGAAAAGAAAAACATGAACCTCAAGTGATTAGCGACAAGTAAAATGTTTTACAAGTAAAAAACCGGAAAAAATTGATAATGATTACTATCTCTATGTTTCAACATTAAACAATAAAATTATATCCAGAAATTCAAAACAATATGCAACCCAGAATGCTCATCACATCTCAAAAGGTATTTAAGTTGTGCCACAACAGTTTCCAACCTAATCCCAAAGATTTTATTCGTATTTATTAAGGTGAATGCCCCTCTAGCAAATGTGTGATGGAAATTTCTTTTAGACTTTTCCTAAAAATCTGACATGATCCTAGCACACAATTTTGGTTCCTCTAAGATGTTCTGACGGTTGGTGAGTGTTGTGAAAGTGCAGTGTCACAGATCGCTCTGAAGCATGTGTGCTTCCTCCCCACCAAATAGGAACTCTACTTTTGGATGAGTTATGAGAGATTAATTCTAAGGTCAAATTATGTCTTCTCCAAAACAGTGATTTTAAAAACACTATAAATAAATTTGAGAACTGATTAGTTGTTTTTGAGATAAAATATGTGTAATTTTGGTGAGTGTGGTCAATATATGCAATATAATAGAATAGAAAGGGCAAAGATCCAGTTCTTCAGCAGTTTATTGACACTCAAATTTAATCATATGAATGAAGTGTTCCACTAAGTTCTCAAATTGATACAAGATGGTTAGGTAAAAAAGAGCCAGCTAAATAGAAATACCTTGAAGTTTGTAACTAGACGAGGTTGTGTATTACTAAGCATTCCGAGTTCAGATGACCAGGTATCTCCATTACAACAGGAGTAGTGTCCAATTATACCGCCCATAAGGCAAGTTACAAGGCATGAATCTTTCGTGTTCAAGCACATATCTTGTCCTCCAGTCATTTTCCCAGCCATAACTATTAGAATAGTAGCAATTGCACTGTTAGCTAGAACCTGCAACCTACAGAGAAGATGGGGCTTACTTGTGTCAAACAAAGTGGCAGAAGATGCGATGGAAAATTTTAACAACATAATAGACTTTTTCCTGTATTGTGCTGATCATTAAGCTGTAGGCATGGGTATTCATCTATTGGGAGTTAAGTTTCAAAATTCAAGATTTTACAGAATTCTACTAAATTATAACTGTACATACACACATGTTAAGTGCCATCAAGATCCCATAATATTAACCAATAAATACAAATCAAAGTACCAAGTGATCAGTGAGAACAGACAGTGTGTTGCTTATACTTACAAGAATTAAAACTTACAGAGAACACTCATGTTCTCGTCTTATGTTGCATTAGCTCAAGTGGTTACAAGCTAAAAGGACTAGAAATAGGCCTGAACGGAGAGGGGTGGGGGGATTTAAAAATGTTGTTAGCTGTTGATCTAATTGTGCAGATGTTCTTAACAGAGCTGAGACTTGAGAGGAAAAGAATTATTCATGTAAACAATCGGAAAAGCATGAAACAAAGGTAGTGTTGTCTATGCTGCTTTGTTGGATGATTCTGCTTGGGATGTCATAACTTCTTTTCTTATAAGATATTTCATAAATTGGAAAACTTCAGGCCTGTTAAGTATTTGAGTATCCAATCGTATTATTCTTCTATTATATTAGAATTGTTCACAATTTATGACACACTAATATCCATTTGGTCTTATAGTGATGATTCTCCTTTTTAGTTGATAAATCAGAGCAAAAGTACCTTCAACACTTCAGCAATATTTCATTAAAAGGAATTTCACTTCTAGGACTGGATTTGAATAAGCATTCTTGGAAGGTAGAAAACCCTTGTGTATGCTCGACAGTGGTGCCATCATCAACATCATCACCTAAGCCCTTTCATATTGAAATGGGATCAGGCATGGAACACACTCCACATTAAGAAAATATGGGATTTATTATGGAAAACAAGCATCAAGATCTTTGTTGCCACAATTACAATCTAGGAAGGATGGTTTTCTGGTTCATGTTTACTATATATTTTAATTACCTACTTGAGCTTGATTGTCAAAAAATTATACTAAATATTTATAAAATAATACTACATATGCCTGAGGTATTTGTCATATATCAGAACTACTAAGAGAATTTAAGTATTATGTATTGGGTTTGGGTCCATACCCATGAGTGGGCTCTACATGTAGTCATGTGAATTGGCTAAGGGATATTCCAACTTGGTCATGCTGGTGCAACCCACTTATGATTTGGGTTGGGAACCTAAATCATACAAAGAGGTTTGAGTTGGAAATTGAGAGTTGAATTTCTTTCATTTGTTCTATATCATTATCCAAGTGTGGAGTCTTGAAGAGAGGAAGAAAGGGGAAAGAAAGCTAGGGTTTAAAGAAACTCATCTTCATTGATTTGCTCAACATTGCACAACATTTTGGAGATCTCGGTTGCTTCTACTTGTTATTAGGAGGTGATTCTTCAAGTGGACAGTGTGTTTGGAGCTTGTGAGGTTATTCTTCTATTTTCCTATTTACCCATTGTTGTTGGAGTCTCAAGCATTGTTATAGTCTTGAGAGTATTGGGTGTTGCACTGTTCTCTTCTTGCTGATATAGTGGAAAGATCTCTCTTTTGGTTGTGGATCTAATCACGGGTTGTGGTTGGTTGTCCATTGTGGTTGGTTGTTGAGTTGTTATTTCACATTTTGTTCATCCTCTCTCACATTTGATCTTGGGTTTGGGATCCTACTCTTTGGTTTCCCAACAAAGTGGTATCAGAGCAAGGTCGCTCTCAAGATGTTTGGCGAATTGCATGAGACAGATTTTTATCTCTTTTGTGGTGTGCGAGAGATGGATAGTAACACATCTATGATTATTAGCCTCAATGAAAAATTTTGAATGATATGGAGTGGGGAAAATGTTTCCTAAAAACAATTGAGAGTATTTGGTTGTCATGTATTAATTCATATTTCAAAAGATAAGATGCTCTCACATGATGGCAAGTCAAAGTTATGTATCTTTCTAGAATGTTTAATTTATGAGTTTGGATGTAAGTTATGGGATCCGGAAAAGAAGAAGTTGATGTGGAGTTGGTCAAAGATGACTACAATGCTCAATCTTCTTCGAACAGTTTTGTTGATTTAGATCCAATTTTTTTTCCGATGGTATATGATGTTGGAGGAGATCTTCAAGAGATTATGACGACTATGTTGAAGCTTACGATGGCACTCACAATGAAGTGGTGGAGCAAGTCATCGAGGAGCAAACATGTTAGCAAAGAACATGTAAAGGGTAAGCAAATATTTTGTCTAGAAGGTAGCCGACATAGATGCTAGATGATTAGTCATCAACATCACCCGTATAGGCATGTAGGAGGAAATTGTTGGGTTTAGGTCCATACCCATGAATGGGGTTAACATTTAGTCATGTGATTTGTTTAAGGCATGTGACAACTTGGTCATTTTGGCACAACCCACTTGTTGTTTGTGTTGGGAACTTAAGTCATATAAAAGGGCTTGGATTGAAAATTGAGAGTTGGATTCTCACATTTGTTCTATATCATTATCCATATGTGGAGTCTTGAAGAGAAAGAGAAAAGAAGTTAGTGCTTGGATAAACTCATCTTGGTTGATTTGTTCAACATTGCACAACATCTTGGAGATCACGATTGGCTTCTACTTGTTGTTAGAAGGTGATTCTTTAAGTGGGTAGTGTGTTTGGAGCTTGTGAGGTAACCCTTGTATTTTTCCCATTTACACATTATCGTTGGAGTCTCAAGCATTGTTAGTCTTGAGAATGTTAAATGTTATGTTTTGTTGTTGCTGATATAGTGGAAAGATTCCTTTTTTAGTTGTGGACCTAGGGCCTGATTGTGGTCGAAGCACGTTAAATTTGGTTGTCCATTGTGGTTGGTTGTTGTATTGTTATTTTGCATTTTGTCCATCCTCTCTCACATTTGATCTTGGGCTTGCGATCCTAATCTTTGGTTCCCAGCATCGTGTTGGACAAGATTCACTACGGGAGACATGATAAGATCTTGGAGCATCTAGCACATATTTATTGAAAAAATTTATATGAGAAATAATTGTTAACACCATTTACTATTTTTTGAAGTTAACACTCATGGATATGTGTCCTGGAAATTTCTAACTAAAAACCAAGGTTCACATGTATGTACACACAACTTCCCTCACACCAACTTAGATAGATTACTAATTAATTATGAATATTCATGATATTATGATGCTTATGTCAATTCCAATAAAATTATATGCATGTTTAAATATGTAAATATTAAAGAGGTCAAATAGCCGGAGAACGTGCTGACCCAAAAAGGATGTCGAGTATGCATGTAAGTTACCAATAGAGGAATATTGAAGCAAGATGTTGTAAGTGACACGGATACGAAATACCCAAGATCAAATATATGCGCCTTTGTGGATAAACACAACCCATATTGACATAAATGAATTGTATGCTCTTGCATGTAGAATCCTAACTCAACCCATGTTGACATAAAGCTTAGCAAACTCTTCAAAATAATTTAGAACTTTTGATACAAATACAAGACAAAAGTGCAAACAATAGCCTCTGTAAAATGAAAGATATAAAAAGTTTGTTCAAACAGTTATCATTTAAATACATTTCTTTTTGTCTATATAATTTTTTTCCTTAATTTGTTTGCCATGTGATAATTTAACCAAACTATTTATTATATCAAATCAACCAAAATAAAATGTTTGGTGTGTACATGCTACCAGTTTCATTAGGTGTTTACTCCTATCAAAGATAACAAATGTTTTAAATGTTAATTTTAAAGCTTTTCAAACAACAAAAACCAATATCTTAAAAAGCATAGCAAGCTTCCAGGCACTGGAGTCCTGGACATAACGCCAGCGCCTAGGCGAGCACATAAGCAGCATCAAGATATTTTTAACTGACGCTAAGGAGCACATAAGCAACAACTAGATATTTTTAACACTTTATTTCTTTTAAGGCAATTGCTTTTGTCATAGACAAAGATGTAGGAAAGGAAGAAAGAAGAAGGAGAGAGAGGAATAAAGGAAAAAGAACCAAAGAAAAAAAAAGAAAAGATCATGGAGGAGATGAGTTTGTAGATATTAGTGTATACAAAATTAAGATTATAATAAATTGAAAATAAATTATCTTCTTGCAGTCTCAACAGTGATGGGAAGTGGCTCTGACAATGGTCAAGACTGTGAGGAAACAACTTTAACGGGAAACAAAAAGGTTAAGGGATGACACCGAGAGAGGGAAAGCACTTTCCAAAGATTTGAAATCTTAGCCTTAGTGGATTATCTAAAGACCTCGAATGTGGAGTTTGACTTGATCTGTTCTGATATGTTTTCTTCACTGTTATTACGCTTAACCGGGTTGCATACTTGTCTTTGACATTGTGCAGCTCATGCATGCTTTCCAAAGATTTGAAAACCACTTTATGCAGCTTATGCATGCTTAGGCATCCCCAGTACTTAATTAGGCATCCAAGCATAAATTGGATGTTCTGCGGACCGCCTCGGCCAAGGTAGATAGGTAGGCAACCACCTAAGCTGATTTTACATCATGTCACATGAGTTGTCCATGTGAGACAAGCAAGTTTTAGGGTGTATTTGGCAACCTCGTAAAATTGGGCCAGGACCAATCCTAGCCCAATTTTAAGTAGTTTCTTGTTTGGCAAATAGGAGGGCTAGAGCTAGTCTAATTTTTTTGTAAACCCAAAATTGACCACTAAACTAGTTTTCGTTTGGGGAGGGGTTGGTCAAAAAAATGCTTTAGCACAAAACTGGGTTAGGACTAATCCTGACCCAGTTTTGTGTAGTTTGCCAAATACACTCAGGGAAGCCTCGAAGAAAACGGACCCAACATTATAAGGTAGTGTCCTACAAGTGTCGAAAATGCTTTAGCATCTTCTAAGGATACAATCTGGTGTCAGTATAGTATCAGACACTAGTCCTCCCGGGTACGAATGTTATGCAGTGCCCACTAATTGTGTGTTTATCATTGGAAGACCATCTTCAGTTTTTTATATATATAGTTTCTGTATACTTGCCAGTAATCCAACAGACTAACGGTAACTAACATCCGAGCCAAACAATATAGCAAACACAATATATGCTCTAAGATCGACTACTTTATGGAACATAATATCAAACCACCTATAAATCATTAAATTGTCTGCAAACAGTCATCTCTCCAATGCAAACACAATGCTTAACAAAGAGTTTGGACTTCAATCATTAACAATATAAACTTACTTGATTCTAAACTTAGGTCTAAGATAGTCAAACAAACCAAAAAAGGTCAACTTTCTCCTTACCAGTTCCGCTGACCTCCTTCCTTAAACCCCTCATCAACACCCCTCTTCTTCTCTTCCCCAATCCTTGTCACCTTCGACGACGTATAGAAGAAAACAAGAAGCAACGCCGCAAATCTGCTCAAAAAAAAATCTTTAATTCAAATTCTATTAAAATCAAAGAAAATCTCAAAATTTTTGTCGTCGAATCGACGCGGTCACCTATAATCGACGGCCGCGTGAACAACCATCACAGGGATTCCGGCGAACACGCCGGAGAGATCCACCGACCGCCGCCGGTATGCCCACGCAGCGATCAAGGAGGAGATCAGTACTGCAACCGCGCATCGGATCTCGAGATCTTCCATTTTTTTTTAGTCGATGAGACTGAATTAGGGTGTTGGCAGGAGAGAAAGTGTGAGGGGGGAGTTTTTTTTTTTTTTTGAAATGAGAGGAGAAACGGCCTACAACTTCATAGAAGAGAGAGAGTTTTTTTTTTTTGTTTGAAGAAGTTTGCAAAACAGATCTATTTTGCTAAATATTTAGTAAAACAGACCGTTTTGCTAAATATTTAGTAAAATAGACCAACTTTTAGTCAAATGATCAAAAAAAGTCGATTTTACAAAACAGATCATTCAAAGCATACAAGACTAGTAGTCCCGTATGATTTAATGGGAGATTAAATCATACGGGACTACTAGCCCCATAGTTTCGAATGATCTGTTTAGCAAAATCGACCTATTGGCCAAAAAGATATTTATTTTGCTAAATATTTAGCAAAACGGTCTGTTTTGCTAAATATTTAGCAAAATAAACATCTATTTCGTAAATTTTTCTGGTTTTTTATTTTATTTTATTTATTTATTTATTTATTTATATTTGTATTGGTGCAGAGAGAGAGGGGAATTTAATTTTAAATTGGAGTTAATACTTTTTTTAATGAAAAATAGAATTATGGAGATTTTATACTTCAATGAAATCTTATTCATAAGGTTTGGCAAGGGAGCTTCAATATTTTACTTCTATTTTGTAGATTTTGTTTTTGAACCACTATTTTGTAGATACAGAATATAATAATGATGATTGTTGCATTTGGAGTATTTTTTGGGAAAATTACTTGTAGCAAGCAATTTGTAAAAATTTAAGCACTCCCCACCCCTAACTAAAGTCAAACCCATTTAGACACTTTGACTCAAGTATCTATGCTAAAACATTCCTAGCCCAAGAAAGAATAAAAAGTACCTATGTTGTTTTTTGTCTACATGCCCAGTTTACCCTTTTCTAGATTGTCAAAAAAATTTTGTCTTATTCGGTAGTCCCTCATTAGATTGTATTCTAAGAAGTGATACGTAATGGGTTCAAGATAAGAGACAAGACTTACATTAATGGTTGTGAGAGATTTTTTGGAGGTAAAGAGAAAACCGGAGGGAAACATACTAAGTTCCCTCCAAATAATGTCAATATATTCTTCCTTTTTTAGATTCTACTCATAAGACCTTCAACAACCAAAATATTCTTAACTTTTTCATCTTAACTTCCCCAACAACTAAACTAGAGGAATCTTTAATATGTGTGATTTCGTTGAACATGCAACAATCATTAAAGTCAATGTTGCAACAAGTTTAGCTGAATTGAAGATGCATGCTGCAAAGAATTTAAACCTGTCGTATTGATAGGAATTAAATAAAATCCAAGTTGTAAGCACACAAATATCAAGTCATAATATAGAAAAATATCGATCACACAAGGAAGGTGTTGTAGGAAATAAGCAAAATTCGATTCTTATGTTGTGTGTGTGACAATTAGAAATAATAGGAGTAGTTGTGGAGAGATAAAGAGAGTGGTTGTGATTATATGCAAATAAAATTAAAATAGATTAAGAGAGGAGAAAGAAAGATGAAGAAATTGAGAAAAATAAAATCAAAAAAATAAAGAAAAATTAAGTACAAAGAGGAAAACCAAGAAAGTAAAATATGGATGATTCAATTAGAGATATGATGAATTTAGAATTGAATCCACTGATCAATTTCACTTAGAAATTATGAATCATTCTCTTTTTATCACATTTTACTTAAGATTTATTAAGCATATACTATCAAACCACTTAAAGAAAGCATAACATATTAAATTATCATCCAAGTAAAATTAATATTCATGAAAAGAACAATAACTAGATATTAATTCTAAAATTCATAAGCATAACCTATAAAACCACTTAAGATAAGCATAGGTTATCAAATTTTTCTTCTACCAATTAGTTTTCTAATTGATATTTTTTATAAATTATAAAAGAAATTAAACTAATTTCATACAATTTTAGAATTCCTATAAGAATTAGTTCCACATCTTAAAAAATAAAAAACAAAAATAAAATAAAATCTAGAGTAGAGAGAATAAAAGAAAGAGAATGAAAATAAGAACTAACTACAAAGAAGAAAATAAGAACAAAGATTAAATATCTGAACTATGAACAAAAAGAAAAGAATGTAAAAGGAAATCTAAACTATGCAAGAATATAAATCTATACCACAAAATAAATACAAGAAAATAATATATAAATAAAGACATAAAAGTAAACCTACTCTACAATGCATCAAAATAAATCTAAAACAAGAGGGTTCTAGCCCCTTGAATATCTAAAATAAAAGATAAAAAATTTTACATTACAAGAGGGTTCTAGCCTCTTGAAAGCAAACTTTCATCTTCATCTTCGTCTTCATCTTCATCATCAAATAAAGAGAAAAAAAATAAAAATATGAAGACGTAAATTTTTTTTCTTAATTGCAATAAAGTTATAATTTTTAGAATGTCTTCTCAAATAAGAGTAACTCTCCTCTCCAAATAGAATTTTATAAAAAAAATTCACACCAAAACTTCTCACACTCTACCCCTATTTATAGCCTACAACAAGCAACAATAACCATTGGATTTTACTTGGGCTCCAACGATTAAATCTTAGCTACAAACAAGTTTGTTACGATTCAATTGGTCGGAGCCAACCGATTGACCAACCGATTGACCAACAGATTAGAATTTTTAAATTTTAAAAATGCAGATAGCACCACCTTATTGAGATAGACAATTTTCATATATTATATGTTAAATTCTGTCTTTCGGATTAGGAGATGTCGTCGTTTCTTTGTGGCTAATCATCTTAAACTTGATTTTGACTTGATTTCTTTTCATATTGGATCTTTATTTCTTCCGCTTCTATAAATTGCTTGGTTTGATCTCAAGCTTCAATAAAAAGGTTAAAAATAAGGAAATTTGAGTTCTTTTTCAACTCTTATTAGTCAATTCTTCATTAACCTGCAAATTAAGAGGAAACATGTTAATAATAACATATTTATTTAAATAAGATAGATAATGAGGGAATAAAAATATATTTATCATGTATGAAAGTTTGTTAATAAGTTGTTCTCTCGAGAAGTTTCCCAATGTCCCATTTGAACTTTTAAAAATAAAGATATTCTTAACATGATAGGTTATCATCGTTCAATGGGGTTAAATATGATAATCATGACCGTTACTGAAAGAGATGAAGAATCCACGCATGTCATAGGGACAGAAACAGAGTTTAGGTAAGTATTTAAAATATTATTTTTAGGTTATGTATATACGTTGTAATGGGAACTGTGATATTTATGTATTATATGTAACTAGTAGAAATAACACTTTGACATATCGACTTTATTTGTGACATATACAAGTTAACAGTTATTTGTATTTATTATAGGTGACTTATTTGTATCATTATATTCAACTTGCATTCTTCCTATTGTAAGCTCACAATCATTAGAGCATATCCAGGAATTAGAGAGGATCCCAAATGATAATCCTCAAGGAGAGCATGTGTAGATGATGGATGACATAGTAAGTGACTCAATAGGAATCCCGGTATTATGACACGAGACAATTACTGAAAAAGGCAGCAATTTGAAAGCTGCAAAAGAAGTTAGAATGGCTCTTATATAGTACTCTATAGCTAAAAAATTCTCTTTTAAATATGTTAACAATGAGCCAAAACGTATTCGTGCTAATTGCATGTTCAGAAAAGAAACAAAATGCTCGTGGTTGTTTTACACTTCACCATTGAGCCATGTGTTAACATTTGCTATAAAAAAAATGTGTTTCTCAACATACTTACGGATAACATAACAACACAACTGGTCACTCTAGAGCATTGAGAAGTTGGATTGCGAATATGTTACAATCAATTATGAAGAGGCATCCATATATCACCCCAACTGACATTAGAAAGTAATTGCACTCTCACTATAATTTAAAAGTTAATTATTCTAAAATTTGGAGTGCTAAGGAGATAGCAAAAGGCCAAATATTTGGTTGCACAAGACATTCATATGGTTTACTATCCTTGTTAGTCCATTAATTTGTTGATATGCCCTTTAGAACTTATATGTGATCTATTAACCTAAAATGTGACATTTTTCGGAATGCTACGTGACGTATAAGTACCATATGTGACATTTAGATCGCTTATGTGACATTTAGGTCTTATACGTGATCTTGAGATCTAACATGTGATATTTCAATCTTACACATGACATTTAGGTCTTACATATGACACATTGACTTTATATGCGACATTTAGGTCTTATATATGACCTTGATATCTAACATGTGACATTTCGATCTTACACGTGACATTAGGTCTTACATATGACACCTAGAACCTATATGTGACATTCACGTCTCATATGTGACCTTTAGAACTTATTCATCAATTAACAAGTTAATTATCCTTTTAGTCATCATTTAAAGGTACCAAATGAAGGTGAGAGAAACAAATCCATGCATCATCATCATCATTGAATAGGAAGAAAGATGATTCAAGCGTTTATTTGTTTCTTGTAGTGCATGCATACATGGATTTCTCAAGGGATGTAGGTCATTACTCTTTCTAGATGGGACCTTTATGAAAGATCCTTACAGAGTGATCTTCTTCGGCGACTGCTTATGATGGTAATCAAGGCATATTTCCACTCATATTTTGTGTTTGTGACCAAGAAAATAAAGCGAATTGCAGTTAGTTTATTCAAGCGTTGTGGTATATTTTGTATAATCGAACAAAACCATATAATCCATCCCATCCTCTAGTTATTTTATCAGATGCTGACAAAGAAATAATATAATCTTTGAAAACTATATTTTTAGATGTGTACAATTCCAAATGTGTACTTCATCTAGTTGAGAATTATAAATTGAAGCTTAGAGAGATGGGTTTTGCCTCAAGTGCTGCTCAAAATATTTTAAAATTATTAGAGTTTGTTGCATATAAGTATACGAAAAAAGAATTTAAAGCTATTTTACATGAGATTAAGATGATGGATCATAGAGCTTATGAACTAGCCCTCGGTTATGGTCCAAAAATTGGGCAAATTCTGTATTACCTGGTATAAAGTACGTCAA